CCTATCTATTGTAATACTTTGTTTAATTTATGTTGGAATCAGAACTCAGAGTTTCATCAGGAGCACACAGGATGGATTAATCAAAAAAAAAAAAAAGGGTTTTGTTGTGTGGTTTCGTTTCCGTTGATACTGTTCATCTTGATCAGTCCATGGCCTTTTATGTCATTTTGAGTAAGAAAATTTTCATATTGAGTAGAAAAATTTTTAAATATATAAATGAATTAAATATAAAGAGGATTAATACTCTTATTATTAATTGATTTTAAATCAAATATAAATTTTATATTAAAACTCATAAGCTTCATTTTTTAGAAACCTGTTGTCAATCCACTGAGCCTGCACCTAGGCTTCATTCTTAAGAAATCCGTTATTAATCCAAGCTTGCGCGTCTATATAACAAAGAAAAATAAAGAGTTCCAGGGCTTGGGGTCGACTGGAAAGTGTACCACAGTATTATGGACCTCCTGCTCCTCCATTTCAACCCCAACCTACATTAAGGAAAACCTTCATCATCGAAAGCTTAATTAGGATGCTGTACAAACAAACTAGAAATTAATTACATATATGAACCCTTCGTTAGTAAGTGTTATCCTGTTTGTAAATATTTAATCTTGAAGAGATTTGTGAATTCGGTATGCCAACAACTATTAATTGCATCTGTTATCTTAAAGAGATTTGTGGAATTTGGTATGCCAACATCCAGTAATTGCATAACACTAGCATTCTTAAAATGAGGCAAACAATATTTACAAAATCCGACAGGCTTACTTCGTTCATCCCGGAACCCTTCTTTTTTTTCTCTTTTGAAAAGCATCCTGGAACCTCTTTATTATCCGACATCAGTTATGAGTTTGCAATTATGTGTTTCAAATTGAAGTCTTGATTTATGGGGTGGTAGGCCAGTAAATCTTGATCACATATGGAAACCTACCCATTATATCGGTTCAGTGATGAAAGAAAACCACGCCCGTATATTGGTTTGGGATTGGTGTATGCAAGGAGGGTAGGTTAAGTGATGAAAGGGGCTGGTTTTTATTGTATAGTCTAAAATAAATAGTTTAAAATAAAAAGAAAAAAAATTTAACAAATTAGTATCTACTAACTTAAAA